CACGTTTTTGCTTCAAAGCCAGTGACTTTTTTAATAAGGACATTAACAACCTGATTGTAAGATGGAAAAGCATCATCAATAAGAATGGAGACTATTTCATTTGATAAATGTTTTGTTTTGATATATAAGTTGTTTGGGCTTTTTCATCTAAAAAAAAAAGGCGACATTAATTTCTTGATGACCACTTGCCATATGGTGTATTTGGACATGCTTATTTTCCTCCCAAGTTGGTGACACATATCTTTGATACGGGCAAAAAGTATATCCTAGTATAGAAAGGGTGCAGTCTCCCATGGATGTTCTCTTATACATTCTTGACATAAGGTGTCACCTCCATGGTTTCTCTTCAGATATCTTATGAAGGGAGCTCATCTAGGTAACTTTCACATCAGTCCCTCCACCACTTCAATATGGGATTCTGTCTATTATGTAAACAAAGGTAAGGTATCATATTGCAAGTTAATGTTTTCCAACATTGAAAATGTATTTCTGATAGATACTTACCTCTTTGTACACTTCACACCCATCCTCCCCACTTCTGGTGCATCTGTTCTTACCTAATCTCGAAGTGGTGATTGTACAATCAGTATAGAGAAAGTCAGCTATGCTAGGAGAGTGTGTTGAACTCCAATTGGTGGAATTTTGTTGCATGCTCCTTTGTCTGCTACAGTGCAGCAATACCACGTTGGAACACGTGAGTTTAGGTGGGAGCCTGAAGGCTAGTGGAAAGGGAAAATTGTAAAAATAGAGGGCAGCACTAAATCAAGGAAAGCTATTATGTGAGAGGAGGTAAGTATCTATCAAAAATATATTTTCAGTGTTTGAAAATGTTAACTTTGCAATTTGTCAGTAGTAACTCTTAAGCCAACTATAAAGGAAACTTAATGTTTTTTGGTAAATTAATATTTGTACTTGTTGGTTGGTATAAATTATTATTAAAACATAGTTTTTTAGAGAGTACATTTATGGTGCAGTATTTATAAAAATATTGGTTGGTGAAAATTATTATTAACCCTTTGGCTATTGGCTTCTAAATTTTTTAGAAAGTAATGTCGCTCTTATCATATTTCATTCCAAAAATAAAAACCAATGGATGAAATTGTTTAAAATTTGACAAGAATGTTCATAAAAGTATGTAGTTTCAGAAAAACAAAATATTAAATTTTTGTTTTTTTTACTATTTCTAATTTTTTAAAGATTCATTATTTACTGTACTTATTTGCACTCAGAATCTAAATAGTTCACTTGCAAGTTAGTTGTTATATGAAATATAAAAATACTGTTTATTATTTTACAGTTTTCACATTTCATTTACATAATCTCTAAAAACCTCCTAATTGAATATGGGGCTTTATCATTATTATTATTATTATACAGCAATTCTTGTACAGAGACTCATTTCACTAATGATTTGCACATGTGAATACTGTCATCTTGTCTATACACTTTCATAATCCAGGCAATAACAAGTTAAACTTATAAAAATCATTAAACATTTCAAATATAACTTTTAAAACACAAATAATACCTAATTAACTAAAATGTAAAAGTAAGACCGAAATGCAATTTAAATATCTATCTAACTATAGCATAATTAGGTTAGGAAATGTCATAAGTACTATAGTCTATCAAGCAGACAATAATACAAATGGAAGTTACATTTACTTCAATCCGAAAACTGCGTGCCAATTTCAAATTAACTATTAGTGTAGTACATTGTAAACTGAGCTTTTTGTAACTTGTGTCATCTAACTGCATGTATGTTGTAGATTTCAAGGCAAAGTATAGAAGGTGTGTGTGACACCCATCATGGGTTAGAAAATTTATTTTTCTTTCCCAGTGAATACAGTATGAGACTTTGTATCTTGCATCTGAAAAGGCCATATTGACTTATATTGCCATCTAGACACTCATCTACATTGCCAGCTTCATTGGGGCTTTGAGTGAACTGCTGCTAAAGTCAAGATTTTTCATAGCATGTGGATCAGTATTCATATCTAAAAGATATTCTATATTGCAGTACTTCTAACAGAAGTCGCATGTTACACTTATGATATGACAAGCATGTATAACTCTACCTACAATGTGTATGTTCTTACTCTGTAGTATTTTTATGTATACCTTGGAAGGCTTTGAGCAAAGAATTATAACTTAAATGCAAAGACAAAATTTGAACTTGAAAAATATCACTGAATTGGGTGAGTAAATATGAGAGAACATAAAAATGATCCCAAATCTGGAAAAATCAGGACTCCTCCCCTACAACTTGCATGTGCGTGCCAGTTATTAGGATATTCGAAATAATCTTGGTCAGTCATACATTTTATCTGATGATAATTATCTAATTCATTATATTTGGAGTTAATTAGGTAGAAGTATGGGTAAAAAATATTGGGGTGTAATCCAAACAAATGTGCAGGTCTGGAAAATATGTGAAAAATAAAGGGATTTTTCAGAGAATGTGGTCACTCTGTTAGAATATCTTTGAGATTTTAAACAAAATCTTAAGAACAGCTTAACATTTAAACAAATATCAGTTTAATGGCATTGTGATCAAATATCAAGGTTTAACCCTTTATACATGCCTGTTGCCATATGGTAACCACATAATATGGTTTGATTTTCCCACTAGAAATGTGAATCAAGTGAATAGAATAAATAGATAAAACATAATCTACACACATGATGAACTCAGTCACCAATTTTATCCAACATAGAGTATGTTACTATTCAAAACATCAGTAATATTTGCAGTTGAAAATTAATTTTTATGAAAAAATGGACCCAAAATGGCATCAAATTGCTCCAATGTTTTCACACTTGAAGAGACAATTGAACTTGTGCAAGGTGTCAATGATTCTGGCTCTGAACCTGAATTATCTTACAATGATTTTGAGTGTGATATGACTGAAAAAAATATGTGCCTAAAGGGTTAATATTTAAGTTGTAGGCATGATGCTACCAAAGTCATTACTTTACATAACATTTCAAAGGAATTAATCATCAGATGAATACCAATTTTAATTCAGTTTCATCTTACACCCATTTTCTATCTTCTTCGATGTGATAAGCTATGCAAATTATACACCTAAAAATAATGTATATTTAGAGTAGTAGTCAAACGATGAGTTTATTTTTTGTGTATTATTTCTGTATTGTTTAATGGATGTCTGCCTAATAACATTAGTTAGTAAATAGCAAGATTTATTTTTTAAATTCAAACTAATGCTTGTTCAATTTTTGTATATTTTTCACTTGTTTAGAGCACTGTTGTGTAATGCTCTAAATAATAAACATCACTATTTCATGTGTATTTAACTTTTCAATCATTAGGTACAGTTCTACAAATCAAGAGAATTCTGCCACTACAACATGTTTAATCATTTTTTCTTTGATGGAGAAACAGCAGAAGAAACATATAAGAAATTTCTACTCAAAGATGATGGAAACTCACTGCTCGTGATGTTGGATCCTCCTTTTGGTGGACTGGTGGATGTTATTAGCCACACACTGAAGAAGATTTCTAATACTTGGAGAAATGGCAAATATGACACAAGCGAAGAACTTCCAATTTTTTGGTTTTTTCCCTATTTCAATGAAGCTAGGATACAGCAGTGTCTACCATCATTAAAAATGTTAGATTACAAGGTCAGAATACATACAGAGTTGATTAAGTCTGCTTTGTTACAGTGTTTTTTGGTAATGTGTGATATCTAGATGGGCCTATCTCACAAAATGTCACAGTCACTCATGTTTTACAGGTGTTTTGTGCAAAGGTTAGGATAAATACAGGATTGTTCGAGTCAGCTTTGTTACAGTGTTTTTGGTAATGTTGTTTAATACCTCCTACGCATCCTCAATACAAATCAAAAGTTGAAGATGTAAATAACCAAGTATAGTCATATAATTTTTTTTTAACTATAGGTGAACTATGACAACCATCGATTATTTAATGGTAGTATTAAAGGAAGAAAACAAGGATCTCCTGTAAGAATTTTTACAAACATTAAACCAGAAAAAATCAAATTACCTGAAGAAGATGGTTACAGGTTGGTAAAAAACTTGTACTGTTTGTCACTAGTTTTATCATTAATAATTGCCAGTAAATAACTGTTAACTTTGTAATGGAAATGTTTATATAAATAAAATGGTCAAGTAAATTTATTGATTTGGTTCTCAGAAGTGTGCAGATAGTTTTGTAGCATTAGAAATATATATGTTAAGGCATTTTTTTACAGATAATCTTTTTTTTTGTCTAACACCCTTTACATCTTGACCAATGCTTACTGAAAACAAGTACTTCAGATTTGTGGATGTAAATACTTTTAATGTTTAACTTTTTTTAAATTTAGGCCTTAAAGGACATAGTACTTATATAAGAGGCTAAATCGAATACAGAAAGAAAGTGTTAAATAGTCAAACTTAAATCCTTTGCATCTAAATCTTTGAGCGATTTTTTTTTCCCCAGAATATTACTTCTTTTAGGGAATTTCATGGGTGAGAATATTCTTGAATCAACATAACATCTGTTTTGCGACTTAGATTGTCAGGAATGTGAACAAAATTATTACCAGAAAACTTCCCCTAGCAGAAATTTTAAGTGAAGAAGTGTTCAGATCAGACTCTACCATCTTCATATGTAGTTCTATGGAACATTATTCAAGGTTAATTTTATTTTATTTTACTTATTCTTGAAAAAAAGATGAAGTTTAAAAATGTTGAATACTTCTAAAACCTTTTTTATTAACTTTTATCTAAGTTTTAAACATCCAAGAAACACTCATTAGGGAAAAAACCAAATGTAATCGAAAGTCTACTCTTGTAGCTTCTCTCATAAACCACTTAACAAAAGAATAAATTAACTCAACCTAAATTGTATAGCATGAGTTTCATCAAGGAACAAAGTTAACTTTAGCTTTTACCTCGTATTCTCCCATGAAGATGGTGGTAGTGAATGTTCAACATGATCACTTGAATTTGCCAAGTAATTTTACCTCCGTTTATTGGAAACTTCTGATAAGAAGAGCATTAACATACGTCTTTCACTTGTACATCAAGATTCTGTATGGAAATGTTTGTTGATTTTTTTGTTCTTCATGTTTGTATATCATCTATATAAATTAAAAAAGTAAGCTTGGCAATTCTGTAAACACCATTTTGTATGTAGTTAATGGATTGTTTAACTAATATGTTTATGGATAATGTTTATCTTATTACAAGGTCTGTTGACATCATATACTGAATATATGCATAGTTCCTGTTATTATCTTATTTATGACTTGTTTACTTTTACTAGATTTTGCCCACTGTGTAAGAAGTATGTAGCACCAGAGAATGAACACTGTAATGTTTGTAACACGTGTCCTTCTAAGGTAATTTACTTACATTTCACTTAGATACTGCAGCCTTAGAATAACTCTAGCCTAAATTCATGATACCTTTGTTTAGGTTATTTCTGTAAAATAACATCTTTCTGTCTTGTAGTTTTTATTTTTCGCAATCGTATTTTTCTTCTTTCAAAAAGTTTTCTTTTTAATAGGAACCAGTGACTGTTTAAAATTTATCCAATTATCCTCTAATAAATTTTCTGAGCAAAAATATCATTAGATTGTGTAGCATGAACTTGTTTACTAAGTGTTGGAAATCATCGCATTGACAAGTAACTGATATTTTCTTGAATTTTTTTTTCTTATGTTATAATGCTCAACTGTGAGTTAAAATTTTAGTAAAAGGGTTTTATTTGAAAAGAGCAAAGAAGTTTTATTCTCAAAAAAATTTGTATATTTTGCACATAAACAACTGTGAGTTGATTATGAGAGAGGTGAAAGTTGCAGTCACAATGTAATTTTGAGAGCTTTGCATGGATGTAGATTACTATAAGTTTTAAAACACCCTGTAACAGTTATTTTACGTGCTAGGTGCATTATTGCTGCAGAAAAAATTTTGTTTAACGTTTTCTGCAGTAGATTGTGTGCCGACTTCTAGAAAGAAATCTGTTTTTATTACTAGTATTCAAATACAGAATTTAGAGAGAAAAACGCAAGTTATCTCACGGAAACCTTTCGTTTTATACTATTCTATTAGCCCTGTATTGAACAATCATTGATTTGTTGAAATTTTTATTTCAGTCAGCTGCTAAACTGTGGATCTTAAAGCACTTTTTGATACACTATTATACTGTAGTTCTACTCAATGAAATGTACAACTATAGTAGTAGATAAAAACTGAACTTTTAACATTTCTGTGAACCGAGGATAATAGGAGGAAACAGTGTAATTTGATGTATATTTTTGAAGGTTGTTTATGTTTAGAGTTGCAAGCTTATTTTATAAAATATTTTGTAGATTAACAAAAAAGGATTGACAATGATATGCATGTTTTATAATTTATAAGCTTAGATTGCGCATGGGAATGAAATGGACAGACAATGAATATTTTTTCTACTTTATTGGCTTTAAAAATATACAAAATTTACATTAGTAGGAGCCAAAAAATTTTAAAGTTGTCAGTTTATCTCCACGTTCACTCGTTAATGTTACTGTTTGAAATGCAAAGTGTCTCAAACTCTTTCTTATTTAATAGGACGGACGTCCATACAAACACTGTAGTGACTGTAACCGGTGTGTGAAAAATTCTCGTCAGCATTGTGTCACTTGTGGTCAGTGCATGCTTCCTAACCACGAATGTGGAGTGGTCAGTAGAGCAGGAAGATGTCATATATGTGGAGCTGTAGGTCATAAAAGAAGGGAGTGTCCTAATAAAGATAATCATTCTGCTCCAAGGTTTGAGTTTTTGTTCCTTTTCTCAAAATTACTTATCAGGTACAGGTAGTATTCCAAAATAGAATGCTTATAGATATTAATGTATGGATATAATTTTTAGATTTACTTACAGTATTTTGATGTTAGAAATTCAGTTGTTTTGTCTCGCATGATGCAACTCCCAGGAATCTTTGGATTTTGATGAATTATCAGACACAAGTCAATGAAACGAAATATATAGTTTTTGAGATTAAAAACGATTCACATTTAATTGTATTTAAGAAATGCTGATCTTCTTTTTATATTTTTGTGTATTATGGTCATAATAAATTATACTAATTATAGCATATAGAAAGATATCACATGTAACAGATAACTTATGTTTAGACAATCAAGTTTAATCACTTCATACCAGCTTCTGTTTATAACACTTGTTGAACTTCAGTAGCCTACAATATTCCATATTATTATTATTTAGATATTTATCAAAAAAAAAACATTAAACATGTCACTAATATACATATTAGTATCACATGTTCTGTAATAAACTTCTGCTTCTTTTGTACTTAAAGCTAAATAACTGAAAGAAACCACATTCAGGATGTTAGAAACTATTAAATTATGTTTATTTCTATATTGTCAAAAGAAAATACAGTGAAGGATATTTAAAGTATAAAAGGACTGCCCGTATCAGGAAATCATAACTACATAAGATTTGCAAGTAGAGCTCACACTTTTGAAAGGCTGAAAGTTTAAATACTTCTGATTAGTGCAAGACAAAGTTCCAACTGTGTTTCGTATGACAAACCAGTAATGACTAATATTCTAACACAGGGAAACTGTGAAGGTGAGAAAGACAGCACACAAAAAAAGAGCCAGAGAAGACAACTACAAGTACATTAGCCTCAGAACAACTTTCTTGTTGACTGAAGTGTTGATACAAAGCTAAAACTTCTGAGTTGTTTAACTTGTATGCATAGACATTTTATAAAAAGATTGCTCAGTCTTATTACAGACTGTTTCTGTGTTAATTAAATAGAATACTTGTAAAATAATAAAAAAAGTGTTCATTTAAAAGTTTCTGCAAAAAGTATTTCACATGGTTCCTGTTTTTTGTTTTTTTTATTATTAACTACAAGTTGATAATATTAAAGTTGTGCATCTTACATGTATTATCAAGATTTTACTGACACTTGAACAAGTCAACTGAATGTGATTGTAAAACCAACTCCAGACTATTGAAATATAAAAATATAATTTTGTATCTTAATATTCTATACCAAAAATGTATATATATAGATAGAGAAAACTACAAAAATTTAATAATGTGCTAAAACAAACTATTTGTATGAAATATTTGAAATTGAATAGCAAAGACAATAAGATGCATACTTTTTTACTTGATGAACAACTATTTGTATCAATTATTTAAAATCAGCAACATAACATGTTGAAAGACAGAAATGTTTCTAGTGTGCAAAGGCTGCAAGTTAAAGATGTAAGAAGAATATAAACTAAATTTTTTAGCTTTGGAATAGAAAAAGAGAGCAAGCAGATAGGTGGAGTAAGATATTTATAAAGATAAACACATGAAAATAAGATATGAACTCAAAATATTTTAGTCTGGTTAATCTGGAAATTTAACAGTAAAATTTACCAGTACACAGTGAAATAGTAGTAAAAACCCAGAGGAGTTGCAGAGAGTCACGAAATAGTTAGTGAATGATATAGTTAGTATATTATTGCTGTTGATCACTCAATATTGTTATTAATATCGAAAGGTATTTTTGGAATATTGTGTTTGCTGTATTTTTTGGGAATTAGGTTTTTTCTTTTTGGTTCTTTTTCCTGATACCATTATTTGAAATAATATTAATAGTTATGAGCAAACAGATAGGAGGAGTAAGATATTTATAAAGATAAAAATGAAAAATAAGATGATAACTCAAAATGTTTCAATTTGGACATTTAACAATAAAATTTACCAGTACACAGTCAAATAGTAGTAAAAACCCAGAGGAGTTGCAGAAATTACAGTATACATTTACATTTATTTATTCTCTTAAAACTGAAAGTGTTAATCTGACATATTCTGCCTACATTTATTGCATAAAATTACTATAATGTTAAACATATTGCCACTAATACAGCTGTAAATTTAAAGAGGAACTCTTGAGTTTAAAGTAACAGCACTTAAAAATGTTAAATAATTACTAAAACATCAATACATGGCATCTGAAATACTTTAATAAAATTCCTGAAATAAGTATTAATACTTGCATTTATGTAATGGTTTGTTCTGGAAGCTACCATTTTCCATTCTTCTACCCTCTTCATCTTGTATGATGTAACACAAGTTTACAGAAAGATACACATATTTGATTGTCTTAATGAGACATACTTCTGTGCTCATGTACTATACTGTGTGTTGCAGAATACTATAACTAGAGGCAGTACAAATCTATGAAAAAATATAAAAAATCTGCAGAACTTTTAGAGAGATATTTTTGAAGAAATTTCAGAAAGTTGCACAATTATGTGGAGCATTTTCTGTGTTTAATATTTGCAGTAATAATGACTAAATAAAAATGTAAATCAAACAAATTTAATTATATCAAAGTATTTAAGGATAAATACTTTCAAAGTAATTTAGTCATACATTAAAAATAAATCTGTAGAAGTTTATAATAAATAATAGAAATTAAAGTACAGTAATTTATTTTACTAGAAGTATGTTTTGTGTATAGCATTTGTTTATCAAAACTAAAATAATCTTAGCATTATAAATTATATATTCAATTTACTATCTGTAATGCTTAGCCAACCCTCTCACAGCTAGTGAAATGTGCACCCATCTTGTCACAAGGAACTGTAAAGCAATTGATCTCGTTGTTGATCTTGCATAAACCATCTTTTTTCCATTTCTTTATATATATGACAACAGTCAAACAATTTTCACTTTGATCTTTAACGTAACCCAGTCATTTAGCTTTTAACTTTAGTTTGTTCTCACTGTCTTTGACATATATGCAGACATGAATCAACTCTCAAATTGAAAAAATTGGATCTCTATAAAAGTGGATACATTTTTACTCTAAATATAGATTATATATATATATATGTATATATATTATCTAATGTATTAAATGAAGCAAATACATGTAGAGTAATATTAGGGTTCTGTGTTTTTATTTTTTGTTAATCTACTTGTCTTTTAACAGATTTTGAGCATATATGTAGAGGATGCACAGAAAAGAAAAAGGCATTTAATTCAATATTAACAAGATGATTGTGTCTGCTTTAACCCCCCAAATCGTTTATATTTGTTTTATTTACTGTACAGTTCAATATGAGATATTGTACCATTAGACATATTTCTAAGGTTAATTGTGTTGATTGCTTCTTCAACATTTTGTAAAAAATACCACTTCTAAACTCATACAAAGGAATGGGTAAGTAGGCTATAAACGTTTGTAAGTGAGAGTGCAACCTTTTGTTTGGTGTTTGCCATGGAAAGTATGAGTGTGATCATTTTTTGGATATTATTAAATAATTATGATCCTTAACCAATAGATAATATTAAAGAAACGATACTTTCACACACACAATAAAGATATATCGGATGCAGAGCTAGAAGTAACTGATTTTTTTGTACTGTTTTTGGACATTATTGTCTGAATTAATTTCTTTAACAGTTTCAAAATTATGTTTTTATGAATTGCCAATTTCTTTTTATATTAATAACTGTGAAAAAGTGAAAACATGTAGTAATTATCATTATATTTAATGTATTCTTTATTCTTATTGTTACTGCTAGAATGTTTTCATATCCAAAATGATTTGTGACATAATATTGTCAAATTTTGTACAAGAGGGTAATCATGGGGTCTAGTCAAGTTAAGCGTACGATTGTAGATAGGCCTATGTTGGTACAGATAATATATGTATTATAAAATAAAGTTATTTAACTTTAATTTTCAAAGAGATAAAGGTGATCTCAGATATGGGAGCTTCAATGACTAATCTGGCCAGCTTTACCTGTCGTAATCTCAATGTAGTTTTTTGGACCAATCTTGGCACCAGTAAATGTCATACTTGACAAATCGTTTCTAGCAATTGATATGTAATTTTTTGTCTATTTAAGTATATATTTTTGATCAGAGTTAAAATTAAGAAATTATTTATGGCTGTTTAGTTTCATAATACTGTATTATTAGTAGTAACACTTTCTAAACTTATTTATCACATTATTATTATTGATATCAGTGTGATAATTAGTGAATGGTCACTCTTGAAAGTTTCCTGTTTAAACCTGAAAGCTGTCAGGAAAATATTTATTTTATTCTTTGACAGGAAAAAGAAAAGAAGATTATGCTAGTGTCTCAGAGTGTCTTGCATGTTTATTGGATAAAAAAATAAGATCAGTTGGACATTTTCGGGGGTTTGTGACTTGTTTTGAAACATCATCGGACATCTCTGTGAATTATGAAGATACACAATGGGGAGTAGACGTCAGTTATGTTTATGTTGTTTTTATCAGTATATTCCTGAAATGGCAAAACTGTAACTATCTTTATTATAATTCCCAAGATAAGTTCATACTAAAGTTGCACTACAACTCTAGAGAATTGAATAAAATTTATGTATCATATGCTAGAATGCTGTCTTTTTGTATATCTTTTAGGTATATAAATCTGTGTTTTGAACTTTAGGTATGTTAAAGTAATAATATTTTAAGTTTGTGCACCTAAACAACAAATAGTTTGACCATATTCTGTATTGTTGATAAACAAAACACATTATCAAGAAGAATCGTGTGGAGGAGATTATCATATTTGTGATCAAATCATGGTATATTGCAGTGTTTTTTCAAATGTTTCTTAATTAATCCATTATGCATTTTTGAATCAGAAGTACTGGGGAGAGCAAAAACCAACTTATTATAAAATAGATATCTTTAGACCTAACATCATTGATATTATGATTCAGGGCTTCATTATAAAGAAGAACTTTGCAATATTGGGTCTCAAGCACTCTAGAAAAATTTGAATTCTTTGTGAAATTTACTGAAAAAATAGAAATATTTTATATTTTATTACATTTTGATGAATAAAAATATATTAAACAAAATGATAATTCTTTATATATCATCACATTTTATTGGCTCTGCAAATTGGGGTTTTTCTTACTAGTGCAACAAGAGCATTATTGACTGAAAATATGGAAACAAAACTACAAAACAAGTCTACAGCTATGCTTGGAGAAACAGTATTTGTAAAAAACAAGTGCATAACTCACACTAAAGGTGTAAGTTCTCCTTTCTAATTTGTGAGATCAAAAGCCAATACATATTGTGCGAAGCATGCTAATGCTATGAGGGTCTGGGGGCATGCCCCTCTTTGAAAGTTTGTTAAAAATAGGTGCAATGAGATTAAATATGGAAGCAATTTAGCATGAAATATAGCTTAAACAATATCATAGCTGTTCACGAAAAATCTACAAACATTCAATGAAAGTCAACAAATCATTATTCTGTTGCAACACTGCATGGGGAGCTAGACTTAAATTAGCATAAATATGTATGTTTTATTATGCCCTCATTGGATCAGCATTATGTCTGCTGACTTGCACTGCTAGAAACTGGATTTCGATACTTGTGGTGGGCAAAGCACAGATAGCCCATTGTGCAGTTTTGTACTTACCTACAAACAAACAAATGTTTAATTATAGTAAAGTATTGTACTATCTACATACAGAGTACTTATTGATTTTTAAATTATGTTACTAATTTAAATAACTACAACAACAGTATGTTAGCTATTTCAAGCATTGGCTATCATATATGTACATGTATGTGCTACTGAAATAACATGTCAGCATGCTTCATTCTTCTGGGGTGCTTTTCCATAATATAACTTACTTACAGTTTCAATGTTGATAGCATGTCATAATGATAATGTATTAAAGCTAGAACGCTCAGTCTTTCTTCGGTTTGTGTACACCTCAGGTAATTATTCAACTGACGGAGAGTGGATGCAAATGTTTACATTAACGTGAACTTAGTGCCAGTGTGGCAAAGAGTTTCAGTAAAATAAAGATATTTGGTATACTGAAGCACACTTTTAAGCAGTCAGCTAGTATCTGGGGCCTGTTCTGGAGAGGTATAAAGAGCAATCTTGTCTTCCATCGCTATTTTTTCATCAAAAATATCAGGATTTGGCAAATCTTCCCTGAAAAATTCTATAGCTTGTCTGATATCAGAAATAGAAAACTCTTGTGTGAGTTTTGATGATAAGTTTCTCAATTGATGCTGCTTTACATGTGCATCAAATCTGGAGGAAAGATCACTGATAATGTGGTTAAGAAAAGGAATGATGGTTACTGTTTTCTTAAAGTAATCCTCCATGGAACTATATTCTGCATGTTGGGCTTATTGTTGAAGAATTCGTGGCATGCTAACATAAATATTAGATTTGTTTGCAATATTACTGCTATGCTTGAAGATAGCGTGTGAATAATCATCTACTTCATTCTTTGTGGGCCCGGCATGGCCAGGTGGTTAGGAAACTTGACTCGCAATCTGGGGGTCGCAGATTCGAATCCTCGTCCTATCAAACATGATTGCTCTTTCAGCCATGGGGGTGTTATAATGTGACGGTCAATCCCACTATTCGTTGGTAAAAGAGTAACCCAAGAGATGGCTGTGAGTGGTAATGACTAGCTGCCTTCTCTCTAGTCTTACACTGCTAAATTAGGGACGGCTAGCGCAGATAGCCCTCGTGTAGCTTTGAGCAAAATTCAAAAAACAAAACAAACAAACACCCTTAGTGAAGTCAGTTCTTTACAGCATCCTTCTGTTAGAGAAACACCAGAAATAATGTATTGGCTTGAGCCTTGCAAGTTTACAGAAGCTTCTTTCAAATAGTAAAGAAAACCTTGTAAAGCTGTTAAACAAAAAAGGAATTCAAATGGTTCCAGTATTTTTAGATAAACCATAGCATTCTTCTTATCTTCAGCAGCCCAGTTGTCATTAAACATTTCAAAATTTTCCTTTCCATACACAATAACCTCACACAAGTGAAGTAACAATGGATAACATAAACAGAACCTTTCTCAACCCAGCATGTATAATGCACATGCTCAGTAGTGGAAGATGTGATGAAGCTGCTCCATGCTGGATGTCCTTTTGTTAGATTGCCTTTAATACTTTTCCAAAAACATAATCATAAAAAAATATATAATTTTCTATCTCACAATTGTTAGTGCAATTACAAAGATACTGAGCGATGTTGGATTACCTTTAAATGAATTGCATGATCAAGGATACGATGGAGCATCCATTATAGTTGGTGAAAGATCTGGTGTCAAAAAACAAATCTGAGATACGCAAAGTAAGGCCTTGCACACTCATTGCATGGGTCACTTACTTAATCTTGCTATCATAAATTCTTGACCAATTTACCAATATGAAATTGTATCGATCAAGTTAAATGAATAACTATTTGGATTAAATCCTCACCTAAACAGTGTTTGTGCTTCATTTATTATTTCCTTCTATCATTTAGTTTACTGTGATTTTTTTAGTAGCATTGAAATGCTAACTCACCTTCTAGCTAACCTTTTGTATTTTGAGTAAATATGAATGGTGAAACTGACACCAGCTTCCCTAAAGTTACATACAGATGCTAATTTATGTAAGTTATTATCACATGAGGTGTACTCTTGTGACCTACTCGGTAAATAAATACCCTGCCAGAAGCTTCACTAAAAGAGAGTCATGAGATAGTTAGTGAACGATACAGTTGGTAAATTATTGCTATTTATCACTCGATATTGTTATTAATATTGAAAGGTATTTTTTGGAATATTGTGTTTGCTGTATTTTTTGGAATTAGGTTTTTTTCTTTCTGGTTCTTTTTCCTGATTCCATTATTTGAAATAATATTGATATTTATGATATATTGTTTATTAACATTAGAGTCAAGTCCTGGCCAAGCATGTGTTTATTAATTGTGTGTTTTAACATATTCTTCATCAAACTGTTTGTGCTATTTCGTTTTTAGAAAAAAAAGCTTCGCATTTTGTGGTGATACTGATCCAAAAATCCTGGCAATTTTCTGGCCTTGTTGAAACATTACAATGAAAACGATGAAATAGTGAGAGCTCATTTGTATCATCCCAATGCAAAAAATGCTACATATTTATCTCTCCACTAATAAAATCACATCATCAATGTCATAGCATATGATATAATTCAAGTACAAATTACTGATGAAGTAAAAAAATCTGTTCTTCCTTACGAAGTCGTTTCTCACAATATGGAACATTTAACAATATGTCTCTGTTTTGTAGATAACAACTATGAAATTAGGGAAGAATTTATTGGCTTTGTTAGCTACAGAGGATCAGAGCAACAGATATTGTGTACTGGTCTAAAATGATCTTGCCACTACAATCAGGGTTCAACAACAACAACAAAAATGTACTCAACAAAAACAACACTTGGGAATAAACTTATCTTTCTGAGTTATACTTGATTGAAGAGCACTTTTGGTAATAATATCAATTCTACTGGATGATGGATGTTCAATGGAAACCTTCAAACCATCAGCAACTTGCATAGAATCATGATGATAAACAAGCTTAGAATAGTTGCTTAAATTGTCACTAATTTTTACCCAGCTATTAAATGACTTGTCGAATTGTGCTTCTTTATCATGTCCCGTAAGCACTAAAATAAGGGTAGCACAAAGACCACAAAAAATGCCATCCAATTTTGGGCTGTATAATATCTCATGGGTGTAACAGCAAGTTTAAAACAGCTTGGCTTGAAAAATACCCATGGTTAAGGTGGTAGGAAAACTTTTGGTGGTACCATATGATTATAAAGGTAGGAATACTTTTCAGAATTTGATAGATTACTAATCGCTTGGCATATTTCATTAAGTGATTTTGTTGGTGTCAATAAATTGCCAGTGTCAATGCATGGTTCATTGACTACAGAAATACCATGACAATTCTCTG